CACCCCCAACCTCACACTGGTCCCCTCCGATACTGACTGAGTGTACAGTAATTATTACTAATTTAAGCTCAGCATCTTGCTTGCTTGCAATTTTGAACTTCGAAGATAAGCCTACCATACCAATATCTTTAGTGTAGTGGTTAGATGCTTCATCATTATAAGCGGTTGACATGAGTTTGAATCCATTGTGGGGAGAATTTTTAATTGAGAATTTTGTTTTTTTCTGCTAGGATGACGTATCTCTCTCAGTCCCAGTTGGCCCTGACAGGCAGGTTTGAAGCCAGCCTTCAAAACGATCTAAATTGTGTCGATGTGGGAGAAAAAAAAAAGTTGAGAAGGACAGGCAACTTCACACTAACTCTACAACACAAGAGAAATGACGCAACAAAGAGGCTGGCGTCCATTGCAGTATCACATCATCCATCCAATGTATTTTTGTGGTCAAAGACTTGTAGAATGCTCGTTCATATAACATGATACTTGTTGTAGCGAAACAAACCAAAAGCTTTAAAGTAACGAATACAAAATAAAAACAAACAATAAAAAAATTAATAATAATAATAACAATCATAACAATTTACAAAATGGTTTGGAAATGTTGGCAGCAAGAGTTGTGAAGCCCATGGCTACAGAATGAAACACAAACAACAACAACAACAACAACAACCAGGCGTAGAGGAGAACAATGTGCGCAGTATGCATCATGTATGAGACCCACCGTCGTTTTTTATGTTGTGTGTATACAAATGCGTATGTGCAACTATTTTATGTACGTGCCAATTGAGTCCTGGAAGCCGGTGAGCAAAACCAGAAGGTTGTTGTTAGGAGAGACGTACTTCGTAATAAGCTACGAGCAGAGAACAAAGGAACATCAGTTGTATAATTCACATACACATCCACACAGAGGATTTTTCTCACTTGACTACGGAGCTCTCCAAGTAATAGCATTTACGTCACCTTGTATGTATAATAATAATCATAATGTACAACTCTCATGTACCAGGATAAACATGACGTATTACACAATGTATGTATATTTATACGATGTATGTAAATATATCAAGTGTACACACGGGATAAATCATTCATCAACAATGGATTTAGGATCTCAAGAAATAAAAAGGAAATAAAAATCAGTACAAGATTCACTCATCACACCATTTCAAACAATAAATAAGGTATCCATGAGGGAAAAAATAAGTACAAGTAGCAGAATGTTGTTTGTAACTAGAGTAACTACTACAAGCGTCACAGAGCTGTTGGCCCTTGGCACAGGAGACGTTAGAGATACCACAGATGCAGATACATACATCATATATGAGAGAGAGAGAGAGAGAGAGAGAGAGAGAGAGAGAGAGAGAGAGAGAGAGAAAGAGAGAAAGAGAGAGAGAGAGAGAGAGAAAGATAGAGAGAGAGAGAGAGAGAGCTAGTCTGATCAGATCCACCACACCCACAAACACACACAAATCTCTCTCTCTCTTTTACATACACATACCCAACACACACAAATCTCTCTCTCTTTTACACACACATACCCAACAAACACATACATATTATCTCATACACACACACATATATTATACTAACACACACATATATCTCACTCTCTCTCCTTCTCTCTCTCACACACACACACATTACACACACACACACACATACATGTGTACTCACAAAGACATGTACATATACTTTCTGGCCCAAGTGAGTGCCAGACTTAAAGACCCCATGCAGGAATACAGACAGATATATTATACAGTGGAATCTGCCATGACGGCCACCCGTATAATACGTCCATCAGTACAAACGACCACATTCCTCCCCCCCCCCCCCAGCGTTTTTTCTATACCATTTAACTGTGTAAAACGGGCACCTGTCCAACACTGCCGCGACAATCCTATTCAATCAACCCATGGCCAAATTGATCTATCTGAGACGGCAAGCCGTTGTAAAAAAGTATGCATTTTCCCTTGACGCTGTGGACAAGCCGTCAAAATTCATTCACCTGTCGTTATTGTAAGTCCCTCTTATGGAAGAAACGGCCATGTTGCTTAGGTCAGTCCAAGTGTTTATCCAAGTTGGCCAATGGGTAACAATAAATTTTCAGCTGCTGGTAAGGGAAGTGCGTGATCCGGAAAAACCTATAAGACCCACCCACAAGTCAGTCTATAAACCCAGTCTAGAACAATAGACGTCAACATAAACTCGCAACAGAAGTGTTGGTCGTTCGCCGAGTGGTGGCGACCCATTTGTTTGTTCTACTATGGCACTTGGCCTTCCTCGTCGGACACATTTTGTTTTGTTTTGACATTTCACGGAATCATAATAACAATTTCATAAAAACAAAAAAAACCCAACTGGATCTCTAACAACAAAAAGTCCCAGAAAAAACGTTCTATCCTCTTCCCCCTTTCAACAGA